ATATATATATATATATATATATATTTAAGTTACAGCAACACCACCTTAGGACTTTCACCCAAGGAAACAATTTATATACCAAAAGGCATTAGCTAGTTTATAAAGTAAGCTGGAGACAATGTTCCAAGATACAATATAAAATGTACTGAAACATTATGTTAAAACTGATTCCATTAATGGAGGCAGTATTGATGTTTAACAAAATAAATGTTCAGTCATGGCTGAGGCTTTCCAGGATCAGTCAACTAAAATAACAAAAGGATGGTTCAAGGCAACACAAAAACTGAAATTCATCCAAAAGTTGTGATGCAGGGCACATGAGTGGAAGAGACCTGTCATCCACAAGAAACAACACAAGGGAACCAGCACTATACTCAGGAACGCTACCTTCAGCCTTCAACACAAGGGAACCAACACCAGACTCTGGACTAGAGTTGCACTCGATTCCAAAAAATCCGAACCGACCTGGCCTCAGCATGCAGCCATCATCTCCGAACCCCACCTGATCCGACCAATTGACAGTAATCACAGGTCTAAATCTGAACACCCCCCCCCCCCCCGACATTTTTAATTAAGCTTTGCCACCGACTATTATTAATGGAGTACAGGGAGCAGAAGAACGGAGCTGAGGAGCCATCAAAGCGCATTAAATGCTTCCCCTGCTTCTGCCTGTGTTGGACCCTGCTCTGACTTTGGATATTTTGTGATCTCACTTGTTTGGGTCGTCGGCCGCACACATCCGCTGAGTGCCGCGGCTGAGTGAACGTCCATTTGGCCTGATGGATCACTGGCAGTAGTCCATCTGAAGCTTAACTGAAGCTTTTACCTCTTTTAACCGGTCAGTCAGTGCGCAGTCAAATGCTCGTGTGCGGCTGGTGACAGTATAATAATAATAATAATTTTATTTAAAAAGCGCCTTTCAGGACACCCAAGGACACTTTACAGTAAGAAACATATCAGAAAGATTGTGTAAAAACAAACAACAAGCACAGTGCAAAAATCAACAGGAATAAATTGAAATATAAAATACATAAAGAATATAAAATACATACAGAATATAAAATACATACAGCAAAGTTAAGGATAAGCGAGTCTAAAGAGATGTGTTTTCAGAGCAGTCTTGAATAGAGACAGAGAAGTGGTGTTTCGTAAGTCAGGGGATAGAGAGTTCCAGAGATGAGGGGAAGAGCAGGTGAAGGCCCTGCCCCCCATGGTGGAGAGGCGGACAGAGGGTACATGGAGATGTAGTGAAGAAGAGGATATGAGTGAGAGGGGATAGAGATGTGTAGGAGGTCAGATAGGTAAGGAGGGGCAAGGTTGTGGATAGCTTTGAAAGTGAGAAGAAGAAATTTGAAGACGCGTGATTTAACCGGGAGCCAGTGGAGCTGCTGCAGGACAGGAGTGATGTGGTTATAGGAGGAGGTTTGAGTTATGACATGGGCAGCTGAGTTCTGGACCAATTGCAGCTTCTGGAGAGATTTGTTGGGGAGGCCATAAAGAAGGGAGTTGCAGTAGTCAATCCGAGAAATCACAAGACTGTGCACAAGGATGGCTGTGGAGCAGGGTGTGAGAGAAGGGCGGAGACGGTTAATATATCGGAGATGGAAATAGGCAGACCAAGTAACATTGTTGATGTGTGAAGTGAAGGAGAGAGTGGTGTCGAGGATGACACCAAGACTCTTGACCTAAGGCTGGGGGATAGCAGAGAGTTGTTAATGGGGATGAGAAGATGTTCTGATTTTGAAATAGAGTTTTTGGTACAGACAAGAATGATTTCTGTTTTGTTACTGTTTAGTTGTAGGAAATTGTTAGAAAACCAGTGATTTAGCTCATTGAGACAGTCGGTGAGGATGGAGGGTGGGTGGGTGGAGTTTGGTTTTGTTGACAAGTAGAGCTGTGTGTCATCAGCATAACAGTGGAAATGGACATCATATTTGCAGAAGATGTGACCTAGAGGAAGGAGGTAAATGATGAAGAGGAGGTGTCCGAGGACAGAGCCTTGGGGGACACCCGTGGAGACGGGGGAAAACTGGGAACGAAAGGATTTAAGCTGAATGAATTGAATGTGGTCAGAGAGATAAGATTTGAACCAGTCTAACGGAGTACCTGAGATGCCAATGGAGGTTAGTCTGTTGAGGAGGATAGAATGACAGATTGTGTCGAAGGCAGAAATTAGATCAAGTAGAATGAGGATAGACAGAAGACCAGAATCAGCAGCAAGAAGAAGATCATTGGTTATTTTTATTAGAGCTGTTTCGGTGCTATGGTGGGGGGCGAAAACCAGATTGAAACTCTTCATAAATGTTATCGTTGGATAGGTGAGAGTGAAGTTGACTAGTATGGCAAGCCATGTTTACATATAATTGGACAGTCGGCCGCACACGTTCCTGACACAATTAAAAACCCGACACTGACATGGCCTGCACATTAAGCATATTATTATGGCCCGGTCCGAATCCGAGTCGAGCGGGGCCTGGCTCCGGGTTCGGGTTAGAAATGACAGCTCTACTCTGGACCGCCACCTTCAGCCCTCAACACCCAAGAACCAGCACTATACTCTGGAATGCTACCTTTAGTCTTCAACACAAGGGAGCCAACACCAGACTCTGGATCACCACCTTCAGCCTTCAACCTGGAACAAAAACATTAAATTAAATAAACAGAACTGCTGTAAATATGGATAATAGTTAAAAAAATTCAAATGAAAGATAACATGGTCCGCACATTCACACACATACAAATATAATCATAAATGGACCCAGTGTTTTGGTCAGTAACCTTCTCTGGTAAGACACTGCCTGATCATGGTGACTCAAGCAGGCTGCAGGAGTCCACCAAGGCAGGCCCAAGCAGATGCAGGACCGGTCCGGCTGAACCAGCTGACCTGGAGCAACAGATTAAAAGAAGTTAAAAAGGTCAAAACAATTCAAAGCTCTACTAAAATAATGAACGAAGGAAAGAGGAAGAAATATGAGCAAATCAACGCAAAGCAGCAGGGAGTATTTTGGGACTGGCATGATGTCTGTTTCACATCTCATGATCACATCACCTGAGGAGAGGAGAAAGTAACACCCTCTGCCACAGGTGAATCATGCCGACAGGTGAATCACATGCAAGAAGGCGAATCATGCTGGCAGGTGAATCACATGCTGGCAGGTGAATCACATGCCAAAAAGTGACTCACATGCCACAGGTGAATCGCATGCAGGCAGGTGAATAACATGCTGACAGGTGAATCACATGCCAGCAGGTGGATCGCATGCCGACAGGTGAATCACATGCTACAGGTGAATCACACGCAGGCAGGTGAATCTCGTGCCGTCAGGTGAATCACATGCCGACAGGTGAATCTCATGCCATCAGGTGAATCACATGTCGACAGGTGAATCACATGCCAGTCACTCACCCAGGAGGAACAGAAACAATTCTGTCACAACCTTAGTGGTCAAAATCACACTGATCACTAGCCACACAGGTCACGTGTGGTGGAATGCTGATCAGGCGCACACAGCAGCAATGCCAAGTCACCCTAAATTCAATAACACCAAGAGTGAATGACGGCAGGAGAATACCTTGCATATATAATGTGCCCTCTCCTGGCGATGGGCCAGCCAGTTTACATTGCTGTACCTAGCTGTGGGAGCAGAGGCAGTAGTCATACTGCTACATAAAGGCAGCAGAAAACTTGCCTGGTTGTACATTTAACAATAACTTTCAAACAACTCATTTTAAAGCTTGTTATGAGACATTGTGCTGACAGACACACACAAATGACTTTCTCAGTTATTGCTAAATTTGTAAGCATAAATCTTGTACAGTGTGTAGCACTGAAAGTGCATGTTGTAACTCTCAGTTACATCCAGCCTTAGCACAGCATCTGTAAAACTAACCTAGTGACTTTTGTGTTTACTTAGGCCAGCTGGTTGTGGCGGCCATCTTGAATTAAGATTTAAGAACTGAGATGCAAAGAAAGGTGATTGTGTTCCCTCTAACCCTCACTCCCAGCATCCACTCAGGCTGTAACAGATCATACTAGCTCTCACTTTTCAACCTGTTTGATCAAAAATAGGCCTAAATTATTCCCTTGCATTTGATAATGCCCCCTTTTCTACAACTCCCACCGCTGCTGTGAGCACACAGACACACACACACACACACACACACACACACACACACACACACACCAGTCATGAGTGAATGACGGCAGGTCGCCATGGCAACTGCGTTACGCTCTGGGCAGCCGGGAAGGAAAAGGAAGGGAAGAAAACAAGAGCGTGAGGAATCGTTTCACTCTTCATTTCAGCACCACACGCCTCCTGGACAGCGCCCGGATGAACTCTGCCTCGAGAGGGGCAGAACCGAGGAAGAACCGTCTAACCAGAGCTGGGAGAGAGGCTTGAAACAGCAACGAGAAAAAGAAACAGCTCGTCTCAGGGGGGAAACGCAGAAACTCTCTGAACGGGTAGCTCGGAGGATCAGCTCACAGAGGGTTCAATTTCCGAGCCAGGAGCGGCTCGCTCCGTGAAAACCCACAGCAACAGGTGAGAACTTGGAAACCTGGCACAGGCAGATGTGGCTGCCCCTTGTTTCTGCCAAGTGCTTTAATTGGCTCCATTTGAAACCTCAGGTGTAATTAAGAAGGTGATTAACTCTTTAGAGCAGGGCAGACTGAAACCATGCAGCTCTTAAAATAAGGAAGAATAATTTTCAGACAAATTTCCCGTGTTGGAGGACTTGATGAAAGTTTATGAACAAAAAATGTAATAAGTAAAGAGTTGTGCAATGGTCAGCTTTGTAGTGTGCAAGTGGAAAAAAAAAAAAAGTGTTTCCTACAAATGGGTTCCAATGGCTTGTTGACATGGACACATTGCACTGGCGACAATTGGATGAGTGTTGTGTCTTCATGGCTTGTTGTCAGTGGCTGTAGATGATCTGCGTGCTGAGCCGATGCGCCTGGATGAGTCACTCAGCCTGCAAGTTTGCAGAAGAGTGTAAAAGTGGAGGAGGGGGCAGCTGAAAACAAGCACACAGCTTCTGTCCCAACACTTTGTTTCATTGTGCTTCAGTGTCAACACCTAGTGCTCCACTGGACTGTTTTATTGCAAAGTAGGACGAGCGAAGCATCAGAGTACCACAGCAGTCATAATGTTTGTTTTATTGATTTTTTTTTTTTTAAAGACCAGGTAGTTTTGCCTTTTGTGGCGCTGCCTCTGTGTTTGTTTTATTCCATTTAAAGACTCCCTGTAGCAGACTGTTTGTGTTTAGCCCAAACTGCAACCCTCTGGTGTCAGACAGATGCCACAAAACATCCTATTACTGCTCATTAGCATCTTAATCTTTAGCCTGCTACTATTGGCAAATCATAGCAATCAGCAGCACTTAGCTGTAGCTCTGAGTGACAACTATTGATTAAAGCAAACAATAGATTAGAATGAATCACGGCTGCTCATTCAAACACAAGCACACACACACAGACTTCTCGAACATACCTGTTCAGGCAAGGGGAATGGGTTTGTATGTATTGATCGATAACACAAGTTAAAGCCAAACTAAAACAATGAATGGCACTAAATGTATCTGATTATATCCTGATTAGTATCCCAAACTTTCAGAGGTGTCCCTGTGATGGAAATATATTATTTAATAATCTGTTTCCATTGCAAGGTTTACGTTTTGTACAATATTATTTTCCAGAACACTTCATAATTCTTTATTTGACTCTGTGTCATTGTGAAACTGAACATTATGTCAAGTTTGATAATGGTAGTGCTGTGAAAATCTATATAGAATGACAGATATGTTCATCACCCTCCATAACTGTTTTGTTCTTCAATCTGTGAAAGATCTTAAACGACAGATGTAATTTAGTAAAACAGAGACAGCGCAGAACTTATTCCAGCAGAATGGGCTAAAACTCTGTGATGTTTTGACTTTCTATGAAACTGACTGCCCTCTCATTTGCCAGCAAATTAAACATTTGATGAAGACTACACCTGATTGTTTGTGAATCTTTGTTTTTCTACGACATAAAGCTCGTCTACATTCCTGCAAATGCACGAGTGTCACCATTTGTTGAGCACACACACAACGTGCTGCAGGCATGAAGACAAAAACAGATGCGAGTCTTTAATTAGTGACGTTGGTGTGATTAATGCAGCCTGCTGCGGATGACTCATTCACTTTAACCCCTGCTCCTCTGATGGGAAAAATAGAGATTTATTTTTAGAACTCAATAACTGAGGAAAAGTATGTTTTTGTTTTTATTCAGTAAAACATCGGAGCTGCTGTAGTGGGGTAAAGTGACGGACAGGTTGTTGGTAATAAACACTGTAATGTGTTTCTGGTTGTTGTTGTGGTTGGGCAGTGGAGGCATGTTTATAGAAAGCACATGCATGTGTCCATGTGTTGGTTTATTAGCGCAGCATCTACATTAGCATTGTGGAAAAGCTGTCAGCCAAGCTGTGACTTGCAGACAGCAGACTGGCGGGGAGCGTGCATTTGATTGTGACTGAGTGCTGAATGTGTTTGTGTGTGTGACAAATGACCACCACAAGAAATGAACATGTTGCACAGTTTGATAATCACTGTTATCCTTCCTTCCTCCATCTCTGCAGGGCAGCAGCATGTCTGAAAAGAAATCCAACCAGCGGTTTCACAGCCTGAACTCTGAGCAGGTGGAAGTCCTCCATCAGGTGCTTTCAGAGGTGGTTCCCATTCACGGCCGTGGAAACTTTCCCACACTGGAGTTGCGTCCTCGTGACATCATCATAGCAGTGCGAGCCAGGCTGCAGAGGCAGGGTATTGCTGTAAGAGATGTTCGCCTGAATGGCTCCACGGCCAGCCATGTCCTCGTGCAAGATAACGGAACAAGCTACAAAGACCTGGACATCATCTTTGGAGTAGATCTGCCAAGTCAGGAAGAGTTCCAGGTATGAACTCTGCACTTTTCTAGAAGAACTAATTTATTGCAAAGAATAAAGAAACAGAGTTCAGTCTCGCACTTAACATACCTCGTTGAAAATGTGAGCGTTCCTTCGGTGTTTGATATGCTGAACATCCATAATGATGGTGATGGAAGAGTTTCCAACTAATAACAGCTTCTTTGGTCTAAGGATGCCTGAACCAAAATGGGTGGGGGTTGTGATTACTCTACTGTTACTTTCATAAAAGTATAAATTGGAGTTCTAAGCAGGGGTTTCATCTTATTTTGCAATATGAGGTTTCTAATGGTATGACAGAAACAGAGCCCACAGTTATGTAAAATGTATGAGCTCTGTCATCTGTTAAATTTCTCATGTTGTTGACCTCTTCTCCCTCCAGGTGATTAAAGAGTCGGTGCTGGGCTGCCTGCTGGACTGTTTGCCTGCCGGGGTCAACAAAGAGCGGATCAGCAGTGCCACAATGAAGGAGGCCTATGTTCAGAAAATGGTCAAAGTCTTCAATGACCACGACCGCTGGAGCCTTATCTCTCTGTCAAACAACAGTGGCAAAAACCTGGAGCTCAAATTTGTGAGTGCACTAAGGCGCCAGTTTGAGTTCAGCGTGGACTCTTTCCAGATCATTCTGGATCGTCTCCTGGAGTCTTACATGCAGCAGGATTCTCAGCCCAAACTCTATACTGTTAACATTAAGGACCATTCTGCAGGTGAAAATAACTCTTTTTCTGTACCCAGTCAGTCAGCCACTCCAGACACGGAGAAGTCCACGGCTGTGTCCAATGAACACAGAGCTCAGATTCACCAGACACAACAAAGAGATGAAGTGCATGAAAAAGAGTCTCAGACTGAATTCTTTCAAGCTGAGCATTCAAACCAAACAGAACCTTGTGACAAAGAGAAAGAGGAAGCACCTGCAGAGCCTAAAGTAGTGTCTGAGCACACCAAAAACCCAAATGAGACGAGGCAGACATCTCTAAAACTTCTCTCAAAAAATAAACAAACTTCTGAAGAACTTGAGCCTCCAGATCAGACTGATTTCAGACACAAACACTTGGATGAGTCTACGTCTGCAGTGACAGCAGAACAGTTGGCGCAAGCCAAGCCATGTGATGGCCAAGATGCAGAAGATTCCAGTCACAGTGAATCTTCTGCACAGAAAGAATTGTCTAACCACACAGAACCGCCGGGGAATCAGAGAGAACTCACAAGGTGGATGGGACAGTCTGATCCACCCAATGCCTCAAAAATAACTCTGTGTCTAAACCACTCAGAGGAGTCTCACAGTACAGAGCAATCTGATAAAACCAACTTATCAAAGTGTTTCACAGAAAATCAGAGAGGCAGTGAGGAAGATAAAGCTCAGCATGTGTCTGTTCCAGACACATGTGCAAATATAGAGACACAGATAAAAGATGAAGGAAAAGAGGAACAGGATATTGGTGAGGAGAGTGATGAAAAGAGGGAAAATGATCTGAAAAGCTGTGAAATTGCTGAGATGTCAGCGTTAGAAGAGAAACCTATAGAGGACACAGAGAGTATTGATTGTTCCTGCTCCACCTCTTCCACTCTCGCACTTAGCAGCACAAAGACCACTGACACCGAGGATACACCAGAGACTCACAACACACAGCACACAGATAACTCAGAGAAAACAGCCAGTACACTAGAAGCTGTTGGCCCTCCAGATACTCAGGAATTTGTATCCACACCACCTAGCCTTGTTTCTGACAAAAAGACCCCTTCTCACTATAGTAAGGTCTCAGAAAGACTATCTCACATGGTGGTTCTCAAACACTCATCCCCAAAACCCCCTCGGAGGATGTGTCGAAAGGTTACCTCTAATCCTCACCCCAGCCAAGTCTCTGAAAATGAACTGCTTGTTGCACCTTGTTCAGATTCAAACCCTTGTTTCACAACTGACTTGAATACAGTTTTTAACCTGAAGCCAACAAGTCTCAGTTCATATCCTGTAACGATCCCAGCAAGTGATATTTCTGAACCTAATCCTTCCAATAACCCTTCTTCAAATCCTAACTTTACCTCCAATCCTGTTCTAGCCCTTGATATAGTTTCCACCTCATGTACAGATCCTGTGACTACAATACCTCAAGAGTCATCTACCTCTCCAAAAATCATGGATGGTTTATGTGAAACTGGCCTAAAAGAGACACAAAACACATATGTCTCTCTCAATGCGCAAATACAGTCTTTCCCCAAAGAAAATATATCTGAACTCAAACAGTTAGAGCTTCTCAACTTATCAGTTTCACACACTGACCCGTCTAGTTCCAAGACCCAAGGACCTGCACCTACAACCGATGGAACTGAGGTCAGAACAGAAGAACAGACCAAAAAGATGAACCCAAATCTACAAGAAAACACTGCCATATCACTCCCATCACCTCACAACATCATTCCTCCTCTTCTCAGTCTGTCCCCCCCTCATTTCACCCCCCCCAGCCTCAGCCCTCCTCCATCTCCATTGCTTAGTACCATGAGCCCTACCACCAGCTTTAGCTCTCCACCTCAAAGTTTCAGCCCAACCTCATCCTGCCTCAGCTCACCTCCCTACCTCACCCCTCCTATGCTAAGCCTTAGCCCTCCTCCACTCTGTCCCACTCCACCGTCCCCCTGCCTTAGTCCTCCCCTTCTTTGCTTCACTCCACCAGTGGAGTCTGGGGACATTTTGACTGTGAATGCTGACGGAGATGAACAGATTAATGGCCCATCTTCTCAATCAGGAGTTCCTCCATTACCATTGGAGGATAAAACAGACCATAATTATATATCATCAATGCCTCAGGTTGCAGAGCCTGTCTCTTTTCCAATCGCAATTCCAAGTTCCACCTCACATATGTTGCCTCATTCTCACTCTGATGGCTCAGGGGATTCTGCTCCTTCTACAACTAGTGAATCATCCAAAACTGTGCATGACACAAAAGAGGACCCTAATGTAATCACATACACATCTGAACTGTGTAACTCTCCTCAAGGATCAGACTCAGTCCCTGATGTTGAGATTCTAGCAGAGAGCATGTACGGCGACTTTGAGGCAGCAATGGATCACCTGCGTTATCGCTTGATTGCTACCAGAAATCCTGAAGAGATCCGAGGCGGTGGCTTGTTAAAGTACAGCAACCTGCTGGTCAGAGACTACCGACCAGCAAGCGAGACACAGATAAAGACACTAGAGCGTTACATGTGCTCACGATTTTTCATTGATTTCCCCGATGTGCAGGAGCAGCAGAGGAAGATCCTGTCTTACTTGAAGAATCACTTCATTGGAGAAGAAAGGAGCAAGTACCAGTACCTGATGACTCTGCGTCGCGTCATAGATGACAGCACAGTGTGTCTGATGGGTCACGAGAGGCGTCTGACGCTGAACATGATCACAGTGTTGGCACTGAAGGTTCTTGGGGAACAGAACATTATACCCAACACAGATCATGTGACATGTTTCTACCAGCCTGTCCCCTACCTGGCTGAGCACAATGCCCCTTATCTCACTGAACCCAGCTATTGCAGTTATTACATCCCACAAGGAGGGTCAACCCTGCTGTACCAGCCTTACCCTTTACACATGCACCCACAGACTGGACTAGTCTGAAACCCTCATGACTGTACACAAAACACAGCTGAGCAAGATGTTTGTGGAAGAGCCAGAGAATGGAAATATAATTCAGGGATGAACTGTTTCATCTATAATAGATCTGTGAGGTTAAGACTGAGTGGGATTTACAGTAAACTCCTTGAGTACTCTTTAAGGTTCTAACTCAATTATATTTAATTATCCTGGGATTTGTGGGGAAAATACTAATTCTTCCGATATTGTTCAAACACCAGATAATGCTGTTTGCACTGCATGCATGAGTCATAGACCTTCGGTTTCCCTGGGAAACCAACTGCGCTGTACACACAGAGACACACACACACACACACACACATGCTCTCTTCCAGGTTCTTGTATTCACTTCATGTTTTAACTGTGTTGTTCAGAATGTGGACCTTGCCTGTGATGATTATTGTGCATGGATACGTTAGGACTGTTTTCTCACTGCCAAATACTGTGTGACTTCTCTGCTTCTCCAACAGTTAAATGTAACTTTGCTAGTCCTTTACAAGGGAGAAAATATTTTGGAAAATAACAGAGTTTGCTGGTGTTTATCATATTTTAGAAGATTTTATTCAAAACACATACAAAACACTGCACTCAGTGTTAGAAAATGCATGTGTAGAAAAAACAACAACATGTAAAGTCAAATTAAGGCTTTTAATTTATTAGAAATTGATCTATTTTTGCTAAACTTTCCAAGATATAAAAAAAATTAAAGAGTTAGTTCAGAGAGAAAAACAATGCCTTTGGTGTGGACTGTACAGCATATTTGTTACATTAAATTGGGTGCAAATCTAATGCATTGTTTTCAGGTATACAGTGTAGTGCTTACTTCCTTTCACATGTGGAGTTCTTTCTGTAATCACGTGAATTATCGTACCATGTAGTTTTAATTTTAAAAAGTACAAACGTTTACTCTGTGGAGGTTGTCAGGTTCTAACCATCTTTGGGTGTTGTCATGTTTAAATGTGGCAGAAACAGGTCCCGTTTCAGTTTACACGACTCCTCACTGATTCATGCCGGAATGAGCTCTGAAAACCTGTTTAGATGCCGCGCAACTCTGACCAAAGATGGTCTGGTTGGGAAATCAAGTGCCTAAATGTGAGACATGGTTTGCATGTCTGTACCTTACTGCACTGTGGGTGTTCAAGGGGTGGGTCCAGGGCTAGGATGAGTGTGTATTCAACTGTTTGTCCCCTGTTACTGCTGCCCGTTTTCATGTCTTCTTTAATGTAGTCCTTTGTTGTAATTTATTTGTGTACATTTTTATGAAAATAAAGGAGAAACCATATAAACCATCAGGTGTGAAATAAACTTTTTTTTAAATTCATATAAAAAAAGTCGCAGCATGGTGGCACAACTGGTAGAGCTGCTGCCTCTCAGCGAGCAGGTCCCTGGTTCAAATTCTGGTCCGGGGGCCTTTCTGGGTGGAGTTTGCATGTTCTCTCCGTGTATGCATGGGTTTTCTCCGTGTACTCCATTTTTCTCCCACAGACCAAAAACATGCATGTTAGACTGATTGATAACTCTAAAAATTGTCCTTAGGAGTGAGTGAGAGAATGAATGGTTGTTTGTCTCTATGTGTCCCTGTGATGGACTTGCGACTTGTCCAGGGTGTACCCCGCCCCTCACACAGTGATTGCTGGACATGGGCACCAGCGACCACCGTGACCCAAAATGGAAGAAGCGGGTAAAAGATAATGGATGGATGGCTAAACAAAGTCTTGATTTTAGAGGTGAGGGGGGGATTACATATTCTTTCTGTGCCATCCATACCCCCTCCAGTAGCTCTATTCCCCCAAAATGACACATTGCACAACATACACATGTACGCCCATCCCCCAATGACTGCGCTCTACAATCATCCACTTAAGCGCAACCATCAAGTCACACTGGTGCCCAGGAGAGCGGCCCAAAGCTGTGAGATTCTGTCTGTGCAGAGCCTCTTATTGCAAATCACCTGTCCTTCAGATGTGTTTGGGCTTGGATGACGCACAGACTACGCAACACACCGAGCTCAATGGTGTGTAAATGTGAGGAGAATGTGATTTGTGAGGTGTAACATTGACAGAAGCCGCTGGGAAAGTTTGTGTCTATGTGTGTGTTACCGTTTTATATGAGAGTCTACATGCAGACGCAGCATCAAGTGGATCCTTTATGCAGTTTGTAATTAAGAAGATACTGAGCATAATCAAACAATAACTCTCTCTCTTTATTTGCCTTTATATTTTTCCTCCCACTTGGCACCAATTATAGGTTATATATCTTTCACAACACTGGCAACACACTAAATGTTTGTATTTATTTGCACTAATGTTCACACTCTCTTTTCCATAGTAAAAAAAGAAAATAGCATGTGATCTAGTGATGTCTGTATCAGTGCCTGTCAGACTGTCAAGGCACTCGGGTCCACTCAGGGTTTCCATAGAGACACAGACAGGGAGCACTGTGGGCGCAGAGAGTAAGGCAGAAGACAGGGATAACCCACAAATGAGGGGGAGTGAGATGAAAACAAGCAAAAAAAAAAAAAAAAACAAGAAGGAGGAGGATCAAATCGAAGGATATAGATGTAGAGACGGGTAGATGAGAAATTTGAAACTAACCAGTGAGATATAAAGCGTGGACAGAGTGAGGGGGGTTTGAAGCGTGGGAGGTTGTCAGGCCTTCACTCACAGGGGAGTCACTGCGAGGTGGCTGCAGTGACGGCAGTGGTGATGTCAGTGCATGGGAACACACTGATGTTCCAGTGCACGCACATACACACAACAGCTGCACACACATCAATGTTTTTAATGTCCTGATCTTCCATCCGCCCTCGGCAAACATTTTCAAACTCGCTGAGACAATAAAAAGCTCGTCACCCGCACACCTGTTTTTCCCGCTTTCTGTTGCAGAAATACTCCAGGGAAGACATTGGATCTGATTAGACTCACAATGTGGACAGTATTTCACATTTACAAAGCTTTTCATTCATTTCAGACACACGTGGGTAAATCTTTAATACCCATGGCCTCCTTTGCACATTTGAACAGGCACACGTTGGTTAGATAAAAGAAAATGGCTGACATGTTGCAGTGGGTTCTGTCAAAAGGTTATGAACAATAATTTACCCATTTTCTGATTTGTGACAAGAAAGTGGTAGCAAAAGTCAAATGAAAGGTTTACAAGACAGTGATGAGATGGTTTGGAAACAATGGCACTGATCAAAAGACAGGAGAAAAAACTGGAAGTGGCAGAAATGAAGATGTTGAGGTTCTCCTTAGGAGCGACAAGGCTGGATAAGATTAAGAATGAGATCATCAGAGGTACAGCACAGGTTGAACAACTGGGAGATAAAGTTAGAGAGACCAGACTGAGATGGTTTTGACACGTCCAGAGGAGGAACAGTTGGTATATTGGTAGAAGGAAGTTAGAAATGCAACTGCCAGGAAAAATACAAAAAGGAGATGTAGGGATGGCGCCATCTAGTGGGCCTTCCCCTGTCTATACTCCCTTGTGTCTCTGCTTTGATTGTCTGATTAACATCACCTGTGTCTCATGTCCTGTTTGTATATATAAAGTCTATGTGTTAGTCATGTCAGTGTCAGTTTGTCGTTGGGTATTGCCTGTCCTGCCAGTCTGATCCAGTTTGATCCCGTTCCTGAATCTGTTTTGTTAGTTTTGCTGCCATGTCAGCCTTTTGATTTATTATTATTAAAAGTATTTTATTTTGTACGCCTGTCTCCTGAGTCCTGCTTGTGCAACTGGGTTCTCTCCTGTCCTGACCTGCCTGAAACCCTGACAGTACGAACCGACCAAACCTGAACCCAGCAGGCAGGCTCATTCAGACTCTGCTCACCTGTTTTTGCCTGAGCTTGTCCAGATGGAGGGAGCTGCGATCCAGTGCGGTGCTTTTTGGACTAGACCCGTCCTGGGACTTGGAAGCTGCAGCCAGGCGGTTGAAGTTCTGCCTTCGCCTCTCCTACTGCAGGAGGAAAGACAAAGATCTCTGCTCCAGAAGAACCACACAGCACCCAGGTCCAGTTCCTCCTACTCACCAGTTTACTCTGGGTGGACGTCGGGGGAGGACGCCGAGTCAGAGGACAAACGCTGGTTCGCCCCTGTACACCACCCACATCGCCGCCAGAAGGGAAAGAGAAGACGCAACCGGAACCAGTCCGCTACTCTTCCGCCCACATCACCTGCATGTCCAGCTCCTCGCACTCGGCCCGGCGAGGCTGGATCTTTTGGTTCCGTCTTCTCCTGGTCCCAGCCTCCAGCCTGCTCTCCTCAGCCAGAACTTGCGAAACCGGGGAGAATTTTGCAGGGGGGGGGGGGGGTTGTGGCAGTCATCCCAGTGTTCAACTGCTGAGCAGACCAAGGGGGGCCAGCCCAAGGAGCGTGATGGGTAATTGCTTCCTGCTCCTATTGAGGATGACCAGATCCCTGAGCTGCCTTCATTAGAGGAACAGGTGGTTCATCCCCTCATCAGAGGCTCCATGATGATTCTCAGAATCACTTCAAGGGACAGAGTTAGATGTAGAAGACACCTGGTGGACCAACTCTTAGAGATCTTCATCTCCCAGCCTGAGCAGCTCAACATATCAGTTCACCAGGTGATCTTTAACTTTGGCCTGAAACTAAAGACTGAACGTGACCTTATTTTTGTCTCTGCACACACAGGCTCAACTGAAGAGTCTGCAGTGGTACCAGAGCCTGCAGTCATCACTAGTCCAGAACCTGCAGTGGTACCAGAGCCTGCAGTCATCACCTCTCCAGAACCTGCAGTGGTACCAGAACCTGCAGCCAGCCCAGTGTCTGCAGGTAGTCCAAAGTCTGCAGGTATTCCAGAACCTGCAGCCAGCCCAGAGTCTGCAGGTAGTTCAGAGTCTGCAGCCCGTCCAGAGTCTGCAGCCCGTCCAGAGTGGTACGGGAGCCTGCTGCGGTAGCTGAACCTGCTGCAGTAGCCAGACCACAGCCTGCGAAAGGATCCACACCTCAGCCTGAGGGTCCTGTGTCTGCTGAGGAGTCCTCACCTTAGCCTGAGGGTCCTGTGTCTGCTGAGGGGTCCTCACCTCAGCCTGAGGATCCTGCATCTGCTGAGGGATCCTCATCTCAGCCTGAGGGTCCTGTGTCTGCTGACCTCAGCCT